CGTAATTGGGGTGAGGCAGTCCCTCAGATAACCCGGCCCCATGCCACGAAGGGCTTAAAGGTCAAAACCAGCACCTTGAAACAAAAAACCTTTTGGTGTTTTGTGACTGGATGTTCCATCTACTTATCTCTTTCTATTGTATTTTTAATTTGCTTTTTATATTATGAGCTGCCCAGAGTTCGTCTGGAGTCAGGCAGCACTGAAATCAAATAAATATATAACTATTAAAACATTTTTTAATCTCATCAACCAAATTTTAAATTACTATAATTTTGCCAGTAAGCATACAAACATCAAGTACTTTTTACTGTAGAGTGATTCTCTAGTTATAAAAAATCTATGCAACTGTGGTATGAATAGATATATTTTTAATGACTCTGCATTTCTGCCTTTTGAGGAGTTGCAGCGTAAATATCATTTGTCAAAAAGTCCAGAGTGGCAACACCTTTACCTCTGCTGTCTACAATTGGGTTAGCAGCTCTAAGTGCTTCAAAACCCTATCTAGGGCTACAGGATATAACATCATATTTACAAAATAATAAGTCTATAATAAACAGTTATTAGAATGCTTCAAATTAGATGTTCAAGTATACAGAGAATCATGGAATAAAGAGAATATCTAGTATGAGAATGTCAATGAAGAACTACTTTGGCATCTATGTGTATCTCATTTCTACAACTAATTCAACTGAAATTATTTAATATCTGTTATGTGCTTCTGCATCTTTTCTGAAAATTAAAAGGTTTAACCAATTGTTACTGCTATTGCACTCAAACCAAAACGTTAGTTCAGTTTATGTGACCACGTGCAATAGCACCTCCCTTCTTGACAGAAGTTATCTCCCCCAATAATTTGGTGCTGGAACATTAATTGCTTTTCATATATGTTCCTGTTCTTTTTAATTATATACCAATGATTTCAAAATAAACAGGAAGGCAACATAAATAGACACTGTATCCTCCTTCAAGGATAAGACAAGATTGGAAGGATATATATCCTACATCAGTTATACAGGGTTCTAAAGTGTTTTACCTCTCTATGTCTGAACAAATATTTTATAACTGAGAGTCTTATTTGAAGATTCTTTCATAATTTGCTGTGTGTACCCCAATTTATATATTTAATTCCCCATCCTCCCTAACATTAATAAACTGACTTAAATGTTAATAATTTAATCGTGTAACATGATAAATACGTGCTTCTGAGTGTAGTTTAATATGAGAGAGTTGTCAGCTTTGGTGAGTTTTTTTTTATTTTTGCATATAAAATCATTTTAAAAGATCTCTTTCATCAGAAATCAGAACCTTGGAAAGCTCCCAATTTGACCTGCTGATTGGGACACCTGTGATTTTCCAGGTGAGGTCTGAGGAGGTCCACAAGGTCATCTGCCAAAGTCTCCCTATGTTCACAGATCAGAGCCAATTTGCCATTTCAGCTCCATCTCCCTGCAAGTGTTGGCAACCAGCTGGTAAGAGTTTGCTTCTTGCCTTAACCCCACTTTCCTGTGAATGCCAACAATAAGCTGGTGCTTCCCACATCAAGTTTCTGCCTCCCTGCATGCCCAAACAGTCATCTGGTTTGCAAGAACGGATCAAGGACTAAAAACCTATTAGCTGAAGCATACAAGGAGCAATACACATGGCAATGTGAGTGCTAACTTTCAGAAAACTGACATTTGTGAACAGGTGTCAAGTGCAGTTACTGCCTGGGAGGTCACAGGTGCTATGCTAAGTGGAAGTGTGTTCTCCTACAAGCAATCTAAGAAGAAAAACTACAAATGGGAAATAGTCATTTCATTCATTAGTCAATATCTAAAAAGGGGATTTCACTGGACTGGAGATCAATTTCTTCCTAATCCTTGGTACTTTCCACTGAAGAACATTATTGACCAGCAAGTTTGTGCCAAGACATGTTATTGTGCTAAGATTATTACTATATCAAATAATTCGAGTGGTAAATAAATACTTGTTCTGAATAGAAAACTTAGCTTTAAAAGTCCTTTAAAAATGGAAGGGGATGGAATGCAGGTGCAAATGCAACCATGATCATTATTTTATTTGCCAAAAAAATGTGAACTCCCATGCTTTTCAAGATGAAAATGTAGAGAGGAATGTTAGTTTAATTGGATGCTCCTCCATTTAAAAAAATATTTAGTGATCCATGAGCACAAAAGTTTGAGAAATATTAGGTTAAATTATACAAATAAGTTGTTATAATAGGAGTCTGAGCCCTTAATGAGTGGGCAAGCCTAAAGAAGACAGAAGAAAAAGGGGATATCAGAAATAGAGAGAAAAATGCCCGCATTCCTTTCCTTAAAGTTAATCAGAAAGAAAATCAATGGAGTCCTCGCAACTCTCAGTGGAAAAGAGTTGCCCATTCCTGCTTTATAACAGAGATACTGTCTCCTAAAAATGATATCCTTTAAGGATTCTTGGCCTATAAAATATTCTTAGCTTCTGTGAAATCTAGAAGGTAAAGGGATACTGAAGGGACATTCTCTAAATCCAATAATAGTATATGGCTAGGAAGCGTGGAAGAAGAAACTGAAGGTTTTCCTTCAAAGTAAGTAGTCTGAGCATCATTCAGATTCTCTCCAGAACACTTAGACCCTCAGGATCAAGAGCCATAACAACAGAAGTTAAACAAAAATGTTTGCTAAATTTGTTAAAGAGAGCCAGTTTGGTGTAGTGGTTAAGGTATCAGGCCTTGGGCATAAAGCAGGCTGGGTGACCTAGGAGGAAGGAAATGGCAAACCACTTCCGAAAAACCTTGCTGAAAAAACTGCAGGGACTAGTCCAGGCAGTCGCCAGAAGTCAAAAACTGACTTGAAGGCACACACACAGACAAATTTGTTAAGCACTGTACAAATGTATACTGTATAAGGAATTAAGGACCATTCAAAGCATAAATGGAGAAACTACTGGCATTTCTTTAGACACATGCTAAGATTGCAACATAACATTAATATCAATATGGCTGATTGCATCAATACTGTAAAAAAGCAAACTAGCAGCTTTCTCTTAAGTCCATAATTCCATTTCCTTCCTGAAGTGGAAGCAGATATCCTACGTTTTCCAGAAAATATTAACAAAAAGCTAGACTTGCCAACAGTGGAAAGTGCAGTGACATGGAACAATAACAAAGGCTATGAATCCCCTGAACTATATTAATAAACAGCACTCAGGTAATATTTCTAATTTAATTGCTCTCTCCTCTATGAAACCACACATTTTATGAAAACATTCAGCAATATCAAGGTTACTGGAGAAAATTATTTGCTAGCAGAATCATTTAAAACATATCTTACTTTAAAGAGGAAAATTCTAGTGGTTACAACATTATTTCTGACAACAGACTAAACAAGGATGTCCCCTTGAGGTCGGGAGGATACTATGGTGATGCCAGGTTTCTGGGCATAAACAATCCATGGAAGTTTACTGAGCCATTATTTGCTAAACAATACTGTCTAATTATCTGCAGAACTGATAAGTTCGAGATGTTCCTGGGCAAAGTACCCCTAAAAAGGATCCCCTTACTGTGGACTACTAAGAAACTATGTGGATCAGTTGATGCCAAGGTTGGTCCTATGCCAAGAGTACATGCTGGCACCAGCACATTCTCTCCCCTACATCAGGTACTCCCTGTAGATACCACAACAGGCACTTTGACGCTCTAATGTGAGGAAAGCTGACAGGTCAAGAACAGGATCAGGCACTTGCCTAAGAATGCCATGAAGTAGCACTGGGCACACTGGAAAGTTGTGCAGAAGAAACAACAATAATTGCAGCTTGTAGACAGATATATGGAGGGAGGAGAAGTATAGTCCACTATCAATGGCTACTGTATGCTCTCACTTCTTATATGTAAAAATAGTTTTGCTAGAGATTCACTTATATAACTCATCATTTTCTATGATACAATACAAACAAAAAGCATCGGTCAGGCATTACTCTAAAAACAATACAGTATGTGGCCATGAGAAAAGTTTTGATTAATGGTGGTTAGGTGTTTGTAACTTAAAAAACAAAAGTCAAAATGGCAGTCTCTTAACAAAACTCTGAAGAAGTTATTAATAGCAGAAGTAATAACAGTATTATGTGCCTCTGGAAATCCTGCATGCATTTTTTTCTACCTAGATTATGTTTACTGTTTTTTGAGACCCTATGTGCACTCTTTGGTATTCTGTGACATATTGAGATCATACAATAAATACATTCCTAATACTGAAACTATATCACTACTGAATGTATTTCTTTTGGGGTACTTTTACTGCATGCCTATCCTGCCTTTTCTCTCACAGCTCAGGACTGTATGCATGGAGATCTCCTGTAATGTTAGCTTCACAATATCAATGCTAAAAGATGCTTCGACTGAGAGTAACCACAAAATCATACTACCTTTATTCCACTTTCCTGCTGTAAAGAGACGCTATAATATATTTGAAGATTTACGTGAAAAATAGTGGGTTTTCTCAGTCACAACTCATGTTAGACAGGAATGGTTTTCTAAATCAGTGCAGAATACATCAGAATAGCAGTGGAAAAGAGGATGTGTTAGTACGAGAAATGTTTCCCACGTACTTCTTTCCTTTTTCTTATTTCCATCTGACCAAGTCAAAGGGTTAAGTGATGCAACAATTCTCCAGAAAATTGAAAGAATCAGACTGAATTCTAGCTAAAAATTAGGTAGAGAAGCAAACAAAAACATACCACTATCTTCTCCAGTAAGCTCCCAACTCCCTGAAAATCAATACATGGGTTTTATATCATTCCCTTGAAAACAAATGGCTGAGACTCTTCCCTTATTTCCACGGCTGAAAAAGTATGTATGTGTTTATTTATATATCAAATTTGTCACCGCCTATCTCGTTAAAAAGCAACTCTGGGCAATTTACAGAGGAAAAAAAAATAAATTAAAATACAGTATAAAAGCAGTCTTAAATAAAAAATAAATTCCAAGAATTGATGGAATTGGCGAGTAATGAGTGTCATAAGCATGGGAGACTGGAAGCACTCCAGTCTCAGCAAATTACAGGGTTTCCACAAAATCCCTCAAGCAATTTCCTTTAAAACTCTTGCCCATAAAACCCAGTTTTCAAGTAACTAATATCTGTATGCCTGAGCCCAAGGAGCTTTACTGAAACAATCAACAAGCAAAAGGTTATCATTAAGATTCTTCTTTCTTTTCTTCTGCTGCACAGAGTTGGCTTTTCCTCAAGGGTTTCACCTGATGAAATGCAATGATGAATGTTCAGTTGCATGGAATTATCTCATCTGAACATTTAGTGATTGTAGGGGTCACTTCTCCCTTTGGGTGCTATTTTCACTTTTGAAATCTGTCAAATTGCCCAGAGCAATGAAAAGAATAAAACAGAAGCTCTGAAGAAGCTTGACCTGTCTTTCCAGCCAGCCCAGATCCCAGGAGGAAATTACTTTTTTTTAACCAAAAGGTCATTTAAAAGATGGACGGGGCACTCCTTTTGCTCAGGTAAAAAGTATCTCTGCTATTTCTGTCCCTGAGGCAGCCTCCAGGCAGCCTCCAATTTCATAAAACAAAGATTAGCTTCTTGCATGCCTTAGATATGGAACAGCAAGTGACAGTGGCAGATACCAAGAGTGGCATCATCTTTAGGCAAAGACTGAATGTTAGAGATACTGCTTTAACATTCAATTCTCACGTTAAAAGCTACTGATGAATACCACCTCCATTTATTTAACTCTCTTTCCTAAACCAGTGGCATGGACTCATCGCAACTCAACAAGCTAAATGAGTATTTGTGGGTGGGGAATGAGGTTTTTTCTTTGCTTATCCTGTTCACAGTCAACTTCACTGAGTGACCTCAAGTTTCAGATTGAAGCAGAGAGAAAAAGGAATTTACTTCCTTCACAGCATGCCAGGTTTTATCAGACCTGTCTTGTCTCATAAGAAAAAACCTGCTGGATCTGAGACTAAAAAAATATTTCATTCAGCATCTTATAATGGCCCAATGTCCTTTCCCACACTGATATTTCAGCAAAACCTGTAACAGATTTAAAGGCAAGAATTCTAATTGGTTTGTCCTTAATGATTTTCCAAATTGAAGAGACCCAAATGCTTAATCACGTTGCTTGTCTTCTTCTGCACCTATGTCTGAAACAAATTATATTCATTCCAAGTATACCATACTAACATTTCACTCTTTTTCCTTATAATCTCTAACATAGATTTTTATGAGCCTTCTCTTTTGCTATCTCACTGTCTGTTAGCTTGATTTAGAGTATCATTACTGTGGATGAATCTGAGCACCAGATTTCCAGATGGACATTGATTGCTTAAAACAGGTTCAGAAGAGGGTAACATTTGAGAACATGTTCTACAATGACAGACTAAAGGAACTGGAAATGTTGACTCTGGACAAAAGAAGAAAGAGGGTAATGTTCAGTATTCAGGTACATAAAAAGGTACCATAGGAAGATGGTCAGGAACTATTTTCTATTGCCACAGAAACCAGGATCAGAAAGAATAGGTTACAGAAAGAATACAGCTACCTAGATTTTGTTTAAATATAAGCAAAAACTTCCCGATGGTAAAATCTGTCCATCAGTGAAATAATTTATCTCCACAGATATTGCAGCGATTTTAAAAAGTCTGGACAATAACCTCTCAAAGTGATTTTCCTACATATTGCAGACAGTTGGACTAGTGACCCATTCCAACTCCACAATTCTATGATTTTGTGATTCTTCAACTCCCTGGGTTTTCACACTGGCCACCACACTGGTAACCCTCAGTCATGTCTGACTAAACTGACTAGTCACATGACAGATGGTTTGGAGACTCTGTTGCTTACCTCCCACTGACCTTTAAAAAAAATGAAATGGGTTTACCAATTCATAAGAAAGAAGTCCATTAAGGCCATTTTAACAAAGAAGCTTCAAACAAATTCCACTACATTTCTCTGGGTATATTTTGAAGCAAAATGTTGTTTTCTTGCAATTATTCATTAGGGTGGAATTTGTTATGAAATAACTAATCATTTGATTTGCATCCAGATAGTTATTCTCTGTTTTGTTGGGTTCATGGCTATGGTTAAATTGCAAAATGGGGAATAAATTTCTGGGGATGGGGGAATACGGTCACACAACTGCAAGATTTTGCTGAATAGCTGTCTGTGGTTTGGGTGAGCAGTAATCAAAACAATTCCCGTTTGGACTGGGGATCAGGTACCGGAAACAGAAAAATTCTCACTGCCAGCCAGCCTTTCCAACCTCACTTTGGAAAACTATAAATGCCAGATCAGAAATAAAATCTCAGCCATTAAGAATACAGGAATTTGCATGCCTGAGTCAAAACCACTGGTTTAGCATTGTTGACATTGACTAACAACTGCTCCTCAGAATCTCAAGCATGTTTTCCAGCCCAACCTGGACATATCAGGCCTCGTCATCTGCTGGCCGATTGAGTTTTGGCCCTTGCTGTTGAAATGTGAAAGAGCCAGAGGTGAGTACCTACCTGGTATCCGATTGAGTGTCACCCAAAAGTGTTCGTCGGGGCTGTAAGTGTCTTTGGACCATTGCAGCAAATCAACGGCCCTTGGGTCTTTGAAAAGGAACTCCACAAAAGGCCTAGTGAGGGCAACATAGGCAGACCCAAAGTAGATAGTGAGGTTGTGAGGAGGTGGCGATTTTAGGGTCTTAGTCCTTTTCATGTAGGAAGCTTCCTTGCCTATGTGTTCCTTGTAAACAAATTTGGTCCTTGCAGTTATTGGAGGTGGGGGGAGGATGCCTGGGGTGATGTTCTTCCCCTTAAACCTCTTCAGGTGCTGGACAATTTCCTTGTTAGTTTTGAGTGGGAAGTCTTGCCCGCACATGTTGAGGACATACTTCCACTGGACTGCAGATCGCAGCAGGTCCTTCATGCAGTTCAAGTCGGCCTGGAGCCTGGAGATGCCTGCGTAAATGACAGGCTCTGCTTTGGAGACCAGGAAGGCATTAGGGAAGCACTCCAACAGTTTCTCCACATCCTGCTTGTACTTGGTGGGCACCTTCTCATCCACGTGGATGCAGTATATATTGTGGGGGGAGTAAAAAGCCCTGAAGATCCTCTCGAAGGTTTCCAGTTCTTTGTGGAGGGTGAGGACATAGGCCAGGGGAAAGGTCGTCTCTTCGGCAGAGAGGGGTCTTGTCAGATAGTGGCTCTCCCTCACGTAATCTTGGCAGGAGGCGCCTCTGTCGAAGGACGTCCGGAGACGGTTTCCCCACACGAAGGCTTTCTTCCTCAGAGCCAGCGCATCGCAAGCATGGCGGACGAAATCGCCCTCCCGGGGCTGCGGGGGCGGCTCTTTTGAGGCGTGGGGAGGCTGGCCGAGGAGCAGGAGCAGCAGCGCCGAGAGACCGCTCAGCAGGAAGACCGCGCAGATTTTCGGAGGCTTTCCAGACCGCATTGTCTCTCGGGGACCAGCGGGCCGGCGGAGTAGGAGACGGAGCTAAAGCCAGGGGCGGCGGCGACTCCCTCCGCAGCCTCCCAAGCGATGCGTGCATCCAGCCCACCGCCGCCCGTTCAGTCGCGCCAGATTTTCTGCTGAGCCCGCGCGGGAAGAGCTCCGAGCGATGCCTTTTTACTCGGCCGATTGCCAAGAAATCACCCGAGTCGTGCCCAGCCCACGTGGCCCGGGATACCGCGTTACCTATCACTAGGAGGTGCCGCATCCGCGGCTCCACGCGGCTCCCTAGCCGGACGTCTCCCGGCCTCCTCAGCCTCCCCCGAAGTTCGGCGGCTCAGCCCCGCCCTGGGAAAGGGACTCATCTGCATATCCAAAGGGGCTGAGGATTGGCCCGTGCCAGCGCATCTCGCTTTCCCACCGCCCGGGGCGGGGGCGGGGTCCCCAGGGGGGGGGGTCCAGCAGGCGCCTCTTCGTCTCTGCTGGACGCCCGCTGAGCGGGTGCGGTCACGCTGCGTGCGTCCTCCTGTCTCT